TGGTGCGACAGGAACTGATGCATCAATGAGTGGTGGAACACCAGCTGCTTTAATGATAACTGCTGCCGCCGAAACTGCAGCAAGAACAACTATTCTCACCGAAACTACTCCCACAATCACTGGTGCAACAGCAGAGTCAAATATGACTGGTGCCACCGCAACTGCCGCAACCATATCTGGTATCATACAAACTACTGCCATTATCAGTAGTGTCGCATTAACTGCCGCTACGATCAGCGACGGCACCCAGACTGATACAAGAATGACTGGTGCGACCGGGTCTAATGCGTCCATGAGTCGTGCACCAGCTACTGCTGCAATACTAACTGATCTCACCGAAACTGCCGCAACAATGGCTCTTGCAACAGCAGCTGCAAATATGACTGCTGCCACCGAAACCACTACAACAATAACTAGTAACGCCGAAACTAGTGCCAGAGAACCTGCTCCGACAAATATCACTGGTGCCACAAGAACTGATGCAACAGCAACTGTTCGAACGGTAACTGGTGCCACGCCAACTGCTGCAACAATAACCGGTATCACCGAAACTACTGCCACAATCTCTGCTTCCGCAGGAAACGCTGCTTCAATGACTTATACCACCAGTGCTGCTACAAGAATCATTGATATCACAAGAACTGATGCCGCAATGAGTGGAGAAACAGCAACTGGTCCAACGATAACTGGTACCATCGCAACTGCTGCAACACTAACTGGCCTCGCCCATACTGCCGCAACCGTGACTGGTGCACCAGCGGCTGCTGCAAATATGTCTGGTGCCACCGCAACTGCTGCAACGATAACTGGTGTCCCCGAAACTGCGGCCACAATCACTAGTGCAACAGCAACTGCCTCTGCAATGACCGGTGCCGGCGCAGCTGCTACGAGAGTCGCTGGTGCGACAGAAACTGATGCCTCAATGAGTGGTGCAACGGTAACTGCTGCAACGATAATTGGTGCCTCCGTAAACGCTGCAACAGTAACTGGTATCTCCGAAACTAATCCGACAATCACTGGTGCTACAGGAACTGCCGCTGGCACCACCGGTGCCACAGAAGCTGTTGGAATATGGTCTGGTGCAACAGCAACTGCGGCAATGGTTGCTGGAATTACGGAAACTGCCACGAGAATTACTGGCAGGTCGATAGCTGCTGCAAATGTGACTGGTGCCATCGCAACTGCCCGAACAATTACTGGTATCACGGAGGCTACTGTCACAATCACGGGTGCGACAGGCACTACCGCTACAATCACCCATAACTCAGCAACTGCTACAAGTAACACTGGTGTCAAAGGAACTGTGGGAACGATGACTAGCGGCATCGGAATTCCAGCAGCAATCTCTGATGGCACGGGATCAGTTGCAACAATGACCGTTGGAGTAGCAAGCTCTGGAGCGATCACTGGTGCCTCGGAATCTGCTACAGGAATGAATAGTGTAACGGAAACCTCCCCAACGCTGAGTGGTGCAACTGCAGTTGTTACGATGTTGAGTGGCACTACAGGAAAGGCTGGAATAGGAACTAGTGGCGCGGCAACTGTCGCAACTATGAATGGCGGAAGCTGGACTGCTCCGACATTAACTGGGCTCGCCGAAAGTAGCACTTCAATTAGTGTTGCATCAGCAGCTGCTGCAACTATGACTACGGCCGGTGCAACTGCTGGATCAATCGGTTCTGCCACGCAGCCCGCTGGATCAATGTCTGGTGCAACAGGAACTCCTGCCACAATGGCTGGTGCCACTGCAACTCTTGGAACAATAAGCAGTGTGACGGATACTCCTGTCACCATTGCTGGTGCGGCGGCAACTGATACTGCAATCACTGATGCCATAGGAACTTCTGCAACAGTGAGTGGTGCAACCGCAACAGCTCCTGCAGTAAGTGGTGGGACTGCAACTGCTGGAACGATGAATAATCCCATAGTCGCTGCTTTGACGATGACCGGTGTCAGTGGAACTGCCGTAACCATAACTAGTGTCCCGGAAGCTACTGCTACAGTCAGTGGCGCCACTGCACCTGGTGAAACAATGGCTGGTGCCGTAGCAGGTGCGGCAACAAAAACTGGTGTTACCGTAACAGCTGCAACAATAAGTGGTGCCGCCGCAACTGCTCCAACCGTGATTGATGCCTCGACCGCAATTGCAACAGTGATTTTTATGACGGAGTCTACCGCAACCATGATGGGTGTCACCGCACCTGGTGCGACTATTAGTGGTGACACAGCAAGTGCTGGAATAGTAACTGGTGCCGCAGCAAGTCCTGTAAGAGTGGCTGATATCACCGGAACAACGGGAACGCTAACTGACATCTCAGCAACTGCTGCACAAGTTTCTGGTGCCACGGCACCTGCTGCCACACTGACTGCTTCCACAGTCCTTTCAGTTACAATCGCTGGTGGCACAGCAACTGCTGCCGCAAGCACTGCCTCTCCATCGACTGCTCCAGCATTGATTGATGCAACAGGAACCGTTGCAACAATTAACGGTACCACCGCAACGGCTGGACCATTCACTCTTCCCGTAGCAAGTGCTGTGACGATGGCTTATGTCACGCCAAATACCAGCGCAGTAAGTGGTGCTATCACAACTAGTACAGTAATGCCTAGTGTCACCGCAACTGCTGCAACAATAACTGGTGTAACTGGAACTGCCGCAGCAGTGAGTGCGGCAGCAACAACTGCTGCAACAATGACTAGTGTCAGCGAAATCGCTGCCACAATCACTGCTGCCACAGGAGCTTCCGCAACACTGACTGGTGCCACCGAAACTGCAGCAACAGTTACTCGTGCGACCGCAAGTACTGCAACAATAACTGGTCTTACCGAAGCTGTCGCAACAATAACTGGTGCAACAGCAGCTGCGGCAACTATGACTGCGGCCAGCGCAACTACTGCAACGGTAACTGGTGTCACCCAAACTACTGCCTCAATGACTGGTGCCACACAAACTAATGCAAAAATGACTGGTGCAACAGCAACTGCTGCAACAATAACTGGCGTCACGGCAACTGCTGCCACAATGAGTGGCGCGGCCGCAACTGATCCAACTATGACTGGTGCCAGCGGAATCGCCGTAACAATGGCTGCTATCACGGAAACTGCGGGAACAATTGCTGGTGACGCTGGAACTGTTGGACAAATAAGTGGTGCCACCGCAACTGCTGCACAAATGTCGGGTGCCACGGCAGGTGCTGCAATAATCTCTGGCGTCACCGCAAGTGATGCCAGAATCAGCGGTGCCACTGCAGCCATTGCAACTATGAGTGGTATCACCGAAACTGCCGCAACAGTAACTGGTGTCACCGCAACGGCGGCAAGAATAACTGATGTCATCGCGACTACTGCATCACTAAGCGGTGACACAGCAAGTGCTGCAAGAATGACTGCTGCCACCGCAGCTGCTGTAACAATGACTAATGCCAGCGTAAGCGCGGCAGTAGTGGGTGGTTCCACAGTAACTGCTGGAACTATGGCTGGTGCCGGTGCAGCTGCTGTCATAATAACTGGTTCCACGGCAGGTGGTGCTACAATGACTGCTGCCACTGGAAGTTTTGGGACAATCACTGGTGCCACCGCAACTGCTGCAACAATCACTGGTGCCACAGCAACTGCTGGAACTATGACTGGCGTCGGCGCAGCTGCTGCAACAATGAATACTGCCACGGCAAGTTTTGAAACAATGACTGCTGTTGCATCCACTGCTGGAGCAATGGCTGGTGCAGCTACATCTGTAGGAACGCTGACTGATCTGACGTACGCTGCTGCAGCAATGTCTAGGGCGACAGCCACTGCAGTAACAATGACTACTGTGACAGCCACTGTTGTAACAATGAGTGTCACAACTACAACTGCGGCAGCAGCAATTGCAACAACAGGAACTGTTGGAACCGTAAGTGTTGTAGCAACAACGGTTTCAACAGGGACGACTATCACGGCAGCTGGTGCGGCATCCACTGTCGCAACAGGCGCAACCGCTTTGGCAACAATGGGCACCAGTGTGGGAACAGTGACGACATCGAGAATGATAACGACTGGTGCAACAACTATAGGTATTGTCTTTACTCGTAAAAATGACTGAAAATATAGACATTGTGAAGAGCTAGTGTTTGAGGAAGCATCGGTAAGATGACAGCTGTATGTGGCAAGAAGGGTAGAATAGATAAGATGATGGAAGTGTATTTGCCGTGGCGCCGTTCCGGAAAGTGGAATTTTGTCTTTCAAAGTTTTTGAGAACTCAAAGCTTAGATACTAAATTTGAATGGGTCGTGTTTATGTATGGTGAATTTTGTTGTGTCGTACCCTCCAGCAGAAAAATGTGTCGTGTGTAGAATGTGTTGGATACAAATTTGCCGCGTTCTGTCTGCGGACTATTCGTTCATCATTTTGTTGTACACACATAGCGACATATAAACAACGTGGTTTAACGTACGAAAGATGAATTCTTAAAGGATTCTTATTTTTTAGAATATTTTTTGATCATTTTTTTTTATCGAGAAAATGCCAATCTCGATCCGTAATCGAGACAGCACTACCCTAAACCGGTCTGATGCAAATCGGACCAACTCGAAATAGGATAGATTTCAGGATCTCACCTGTTCCAGTCTTCCAAATAGAAATAATTAAATGGAATTGAATTGAAAAAAAATCGAAATATACTTTTCTAAAAGAACCAATAAAATATGTGGCGCATGTGTCTTACGAAATGTGTCGTGGTCTTGCTGAAGAAAATGTGTCGCAAATCACGACATATGGTACACATTTTAACTTAGTGTGCACTCATGAAGCATTGCTGATTGCTTTCATCCTTTCCACTGGTACGTAGTGTGGTTACAGCATTTGTGATATTGGTAGTACTGTCTTTAGCCGCTCAGAATATTACTACTTTGCATAAAGTTAGGTACTTGCGTAATAGGATCCAGAGTGAGAGCACATATTGATGAGAACTAGATAATACAGAAAGTAAGACATTTGCCCGTATATGTACAAGAAAGTATGTTGCTTATTTGTATTTATGTCGAATACGTAAGTCAAGCTGTCTCATTAAGATTCCATTGATACTTGAAGAATCCATGAATCGCTATCAATTTATAAAAACTCGAAAAGCTGACGAGTGACTACGTGGTAGAAGTGCAGCTGTCTATTATACAAGTCAGGCAGCTCAACTCGTATTGTGTGCTGTATTTCGGTTTTCAGGTTGCGTTTTAGGAGAAGATCATCATCTACACACCCATCCCGCTCAGCTACTCGAACAGCAAGTTTTCGAGACCTCATGAGATTCCATGCCCGAACTCTCCATTGTTTCGTGCTGGAAGTTCATACACGAACAAAGTTAAACATATCACGATAGAAAGATGATTATTAGCTCCTGATCGTCTCTGATTTATTTTGACAAGTGTTTTGCTATGACTCATGGACAATACATGTCTCTGACGATGACAATTTACTGCAAGAGCATGACGAGGAGACAACTGATTGGTCTTTTGGAGCAAGGTAAACTAAAAAACAATAGAAAGAAGGGTAGGTTCACTAGTGATAGAGAAAAATGAAACTTCGAAAAAAAAAGACTTAACTTTTGTACTTTCTCCATCTTTTATTAGTGTTCAACGTCATAGTTGTTATTTGATTCATTCTGTCCTCACTTTTCGATTTTAGTC